GTTCAGAGTCAGGATCTCATTGTGTAGCTTAGACTGTCCAGGAATTCACCATGTATTCAAGGTTGGCGTTGATCTTGGGTTCCTCCAGGTCAGCCTCTCAAATGCTGGGATCACAGACATGTGTCACTATGCCCGCTTAGTTCCTCTTTTATTTTAATTAATCTATTTTAAGATTTACTTTTATTTGTTGTGTGTGTGTGTGCGCACGTGTACACACATGTGACTATACATGTGTGTGTGTGTGCACATGTCTGTGGAGACTAGGTCGATGGATTATAGGAGGTCGGAAGCTCCACCATCTTGAATGCAGGGAAACAAATCCGATCTCTGCAAGAGCATCAATCACCTTTGATCACTCTCTCCAACCCTATAATTCCTTATTTGTTCATTTGAAACAGAATCTCACTATCCCTGGCTAGCCTGGAACTTGATAGATTATTTCTTGGCTGGTGAAATGAGCCAGTTCAAAACCAGATTAGATTATATTAAAGGCAGGTTTATTGAGAAGCTGCTTTTGGGTGATTTCACTGCCCCCAAGGAGTGAGGCCAGAGGAGTTGCCAAGGGGAGAGAGGGGTGGGGGGAGGAGAAAAGAGAGAAAGGGCCTAAGGGCCTGAGGACAGAGACAGAGAGACCTAATTGTCTGGATGGGGGAAGGGCAGCCCAGCCCCTGGGCTGGGAAATTCAAGGTTGGGGGCAGGGTATGACAGGTAGGTACTGAGGGATGCTGGGAGAACCTGCTTTGGTATGTAAAATATGCGCCTCAGTCTCTTGCTCCCGGGTCCTAACCCAAACCGAACTCACTGTGTAGGCAAGAGCGGCCTTAAATTTACAGCAATTTGCCTTCCAAGCACTGGGAGTAAGGGTTAGTACTACTTTATCCTGATCCTTAATTCTTTTTTAAATAGAAGGAAAAAATTTGTTGTTGTTTGATTGGTTTGGTTTGGTTTTTTTGAAACAGGGTCTTTCTACAGAGCTCTGGCTGGCCTGGAACTCATGATACCAGGCTGGCCTCAAACTCATAAAGTTCTACCTGCCTCTGCCTCCTGAGTGCGCCGCTGGGCCCTGCAGAGCCCATATGCCTGCAGAGACCAGAAGCACTGGATTTCCTCAAGCTTGAGTTACAGAGGGTTATAAGCTGCTTGACGTGGGTGCTGCATAATATATTTTCTTAACCACTGAGCCATCTTTCCAGCCTGGGAAAGAATATTTTTAAGTGCCTTTCCTAACCAACTTTTTGTTTTTAAGTAATGTACTTTGAGTCTTAACTACAAAGTATAAAAGCAGAATTTAATATGTACTTTAATTTATTAAACGGGTCTTGGCAATATTTTTAGGAACTTAAGCTTAAAATACCTTTCTAAGATAAAACTTAGGCTGTCATAGTGAGGCGCAGCTGATCTTTATCTAATTTTTAACTGTACAGTTAAGGTATGGGTATATACGTTTGTGGATTTGTTTGGTGCTTATGCTGCAGAAACTAGCATGAAGAGCAGGTGTTAAAACCTAACAGTAACCCAGTAACTGAGATCTCTAATGTGAACATGTGGTTTTTGTTGAGGTTTTTTTTTTAACTGTTATTTTTATAAAAAAAGAAAAATGTAAAATGACTCTTCTGAAGTTATATGTATTAAATGGTCCCATATTAATCATGGGTTGAATATATTTAAAAGATTTCTGACATTTTTGCATTCTTTTCTCTTTGTAGCAGAAACACTTGCTTACAATGTCAGGTGGGCTTCTTAATAATGACAGCACACAGCTCAACAGATGTTCAGTTGCCTGCTTAACATTGTATTTGTGAGTAATCCAGGAGAGCCATGATATGGCTGTTGGTTGCAGGTTTTTTTAAGGCTAACTAAACTTAAATCTCAGTGCAAAGTATCCCACCATTACATAGAATTAAGAAACTAGTTTCTAGATATCTGTGTCAATTTCTGTCATAAAATTTTTATTTTAGGTGTCATTTATCTATTATATCAGAATTACTTAGCTGTGTTAAATGTATATACAAATATTTTGGTAAAAAGAAACTTCACTTAGTAAAGGATTTTAACCACTGACTAATGAAACCATTAGCCCTTAAACTATTAAATTATATCAGACCAAATATGTACTTATGGAGGCTATATAATGTAAAACATTACATAATTTTTTAAAAATAGTCCATTGTGTGTTTAGAGAGATGGCTCAGCAGTTAAGAGAACTAGCTGCTCTTCTAGAACTCTTGGGTTTGATTTCCAGGACCCACATAGCGGCTTACAACTGTATGTAACAAGTCCAAAGGATCTGATGCTGTCTTCTTGCCTCTGTGGGCACCAGGCACACAGGGTTCATACATAGATATACATGCAGGCAAAATACTCATACACATAAAATAATAATAAAAACTTATTAATGCCAAGTCTACAAAGTTTCAGAACTTTGTGTTCTTTCAAATTCTTTCAAGTTACTGAAGAACTGATTTGGAGCATTGTGATGTTCGTTGTTGTATTATATACTTGTAGTTTGTCATGTTCCTATGGCTGCTTTCTCATTGTGACCTCACAGCAGATCTTCCCAGTCCATCCTTCCTTATGGTCTCTCTACCTTCTCCTCTCCCTCTCCTCTTTCCCCTCTCCCTCTCTGTCTTCCTTTATCCCTCCTTCCCGCCCCCGCCCCCCTCCCTTTCTTCTCCCTCTCTTGTCTCTTTGGAACCCCCTGACTGGGATTGGAAGTCCCACCCTATTCTCTTTTGCCCAGCTAATTGGCTGACCAGCTTTTTATTAACCAATCAGAAGTGATGGAAAACAATTTTTACATAACATTGAGACCGGAGATGCTTGACCTGGCATCCAGATGTAAGGGCATAGAATCAGCATCTGAATATGCAGTGCACAAAACCATCCCCCAACATGATGGTATGTATTAGAATAGTTTGTTTGAAAGGAAGGGCAGTACTGGCAATTGAACCAGGAGACTTGGACCTGCAAGTCAAAGCCTGCTGAGCTATACACCAGCACAGATTACTATTAAATTAAATCTACTCAGTACATAGACTTATGCACACATACAACATATCATAAAAGTAAGAATTTATTAACTACCATGAATGTAGTGATTATTTAATAATGTAGACATGAGTTGGGCAGTGGTAGTACATGCTTTTAATCCCAGCACTGGGGAGGCAGAGACAGGTGAATCTCTGAGTTTGAGGTCAGCCTGGTCTACAGAAGAATTCCAGGATAGCCAGGGCTGCAGAGAACCTTGTCTCAAAAAAACCAATAATGACAATAATAATAATGGGCTGGAAAGATGGCTTAGTGGTTGCTCTGCCAGAAGACTCAGGTTTAATTTTTAGCACCCACATGGTCTGTAACTACATTTCCTGAGGATCTGATGTTCTCACACAGACATACATGTAGACAAAACACCAATGTACATAAATTAAAAAGTTTTAAAAAACAATGTAGATGTGTAATAACAAGGTAAGGATCAATAATTTGAGACCATATGAGTTTTATTACAGTAAGACTTTTAAATATATCTTTGAAAAGAAATTTTGAGGTATCAAATTACAAATTTGAAATGTTGAAAGTTTACAGAATATTCCAAGTTTGTAATGTTATAAGATTATAACTCTTTAGTGAATAAACCATAACGTATAGTAATAATGAGCCCATGTATTATAACTTGCTTTGAGCTAAGTTGTTTTTGTACATTTGTTTGTTCTTTTGTTTTGTTTTTCCTTCTACACAAGGTTTCTTTGTGTAGCCCTGGCTGTCCTGTAGACCAGGACTCAGATATTGAGCTAAATAAAAAAAATATATTTTGTGTGTATATGATGTGTTGCTTGTACTATCTTCATGCCAGAATGTACTCGTGGAGGTCAGAGGACAACTTGGTGGAATTTATTCTCCATTTTTACCTTTCTGTGGGTTTGATCTTCAGACTGGTTCAGCAAGTACTTTATCTACAGAGCCATCTTAACGGGCTGTGTGCCATGTTTTCAAAATGGGGGTTCCCCTAGGCTCTGAAGCAGAGTTTTAAAATTTTGATGAAAATCAAGAGTAGTCATGCATTCCTATAATTTCAGCGTTCTTGAGATAGAGGAAGGAGGGTCAGAAGATTAATCCTCAGCTATACAGTTTGAGGCCAGCCCAGGGTGTATGAGGCCCTGTCTCCAAAACAAAAACCAAATATTTCTCTTGATACTGGCATTTTTTTATCTATGATATCAAGTAGCCCTGTAGATATTATATTAAGTGAAATAAACCATCTGAAGGGAGATTATCAACTTACTCACTGTAGAGATTGCTGAGACATAGTACTAACTAATAAGGAATGCTGACACGGGTTGAGGAGTGTGTGCCATGTACTGTGGCTGTGTACTTTGCATCCCATCTCCTTGGGTGTTTCTAACAACCAGAATTGGTAAGGACTGGCAGCACATTCTAATTTGCCAATTTGTAACTTTAATGGCTTGATCGAGACACACTGTAGTGGGCCCAGATAAATGGACTTGAGGCTGCTGTCCTTGTACTTAGGGCATTTGTGGTGCTTGTGTGGTAGTTCTTAAAAACATTGTGGAAATGATTTTAAGAACATTAGAAGTTAAGGACAGCAATGAGGATATAATTTTGTACTCTTATTTTATAGTGCTAGAGAGCAAATCATGGCATTATACATGCTAGGCAAGTGTTCTGCTGCTGAGCCAAGCTCCCAGCCCTAGGGATGGAAGTGTGATTTATCTGTTGGCAGCTGCATATTACTTGCCTTCAAAATATTTTAAAAATTTGTGGATTTACTCATAAGTAGCATTCCATTAATTTTTAATCTAAAATTCTTAGTTTTCCTATTTCAAGCAACATTTTCATTTTAGTAGCATATTCCATGAATGATATAATTTATTTCATAAGAGTATATATAATACTTGATACAGACTTCTGGTAGAAAATATAAAATATTTTATTAAATAGTTCTATAATACCTCAGATCCAAGTATTAATTTTTTTTTATTCAGGTTGGTTTGACATCCACAAATGCAGAACTGAGGGGCTTTGTAGATCAGAATTTCAGTCCGACAAAAGGTAAGGATTATTGAATAAAAATTTTCTGGATTTAATGTTTTTGTAGTTCTCCTATAACATATGCAACTATAAGAATTTCATTGTGTATAATAGTTACATGATGTTAGGATGTTGTCACATACCAAGTCATATGAATGTCAATTGTCTGTAAGAGGTGGAAGGTCTTTGTGTACAATTTTTCTGTCTCCTTCTTTAGAAGTCTCAAAGCTCCTTAACCAGTGATCTTATTCCTGTTGACACTGTTTTAAATCTTTTTCGGTGTGGTATCACATGGCTATAGTTCTAATGCTCATGGAGCTGAGCCAGGAGGATTGCTATGAGTTTGAGACCACTGTGGGCCTTATATTGAGTTTCAGGCTAGTTTGAGCTGATAGTGAGTCTTTGTCTCAGAAACAAAACAAAACTGAGTGGAAAGTAAAAGGCTCAGTGGGCCCCAGCTTTCTCACTGTATGTAATTATTGGCTGATTGAGGAAGGAGAGGAAGGAAAAACAAGAACTGTTAGGACTGTTAAAGGTCATAGGTATGGTAACTAGGAGGTATAGCCACCCTAAGCCATAGGTGGAAGGAAATCAGTATTGTTGTTGGTTGGTTTTTTGAGATAGGGTGTGTGTGTGTGTGTGTGTGTGTGTGTGTGTGTGTGTGTGTGTGTATGTGTGTATGTGTGTGTGTGTGTAGCCCTGGCCATCCTGGAACTCACCCTGTAGACCATCCTGGCCCAGAATTCACAAGAGATCCGCCTGTGTCTGCTTCCCAAGTGCTGGGATTAAAGATGTGTGCTATCACCACCCAGCTAGGAGACACACTCTTAGAGCAGACTTTCTGGTCCTCTTACTCTTAGGTTTCTGTCTCCTCTTCCATGATGTCCTGAGCCTTGCGTGTAGGAGTTGTGTTAGATATGATCTACTGATGCTGAGCGGCCCACAGTTATTTTTTTGCTCCTTAACCTCGTGCATGTGCCTGTGCCTGTGTGTGCGTGTGTAATAGTCTCTGCTGCAAAGAGAAGCTTCTTTGAGAGATGAGAGGTACTCTTATCTGTGGGTATAATGATACAAGTATTTTGAATGTAGTTAGGAATTATGATGGCTTAGTAAACTGGTGGTTGTAGTTTTCAACTAAAGTCCCTGATTTTATTTGCTTTGGGTAGTGATCAGGCCTGAAGTCAAGCACATTTACCTGCTAAGCCATTTTACCAGCCCCCAACAACTCAAATCTTAATTTCACCTTTTGCTGAGTTTTTTTTTTTTTTTCCTTTGAGATAGGATCTTGTTAGATAGTCCAGCATAGCCTGAAATTTGCTACATCACTGTTAGTCAGGATTCTCTAACTTCTAAGTTTCTCTATCCCAATTACAATTCTGAACTGGATAAATAACCACACGATGAGTTCAGGACAGCTGGACTTACTGTGATTTGGACTTTAGCCACGATGTTTCTTGGGATCTCCCAGTATCAGTGTCAATTCAGAACCAGTATCCAATAGACCCCAGAAAGTTTGACTGTTTTCTTTCTCCCAGTTACATAGTTACCCTTGTTAACGGCCAAGGTCCCTCTGGGGAAGGACTGGAGAAGGCTAACACTAAAACTTCTAGGTATTTTATTGTCCTTTCTCAGGAGAACCTGGCTGTCCCTTCATTCAGTTGGCTCAATCTAGAAATGGGTTCACAAGCCAAGATTACCTTTTTCCATGATCTAATGTAGCCTTTCTTTCATTTGTCTGAGAATTTTTCTGCTTATATAGGTTAAAAAAAAATTCAGTAGGCTTTTTATCTATTTTGTGACTGAAAATACTGTGATGGATTACCAGTATCAGAGGTCTATATGAGTCATGCTACCATAAAATTCTCTTTGCCTGTGCTGACCAGTACAGGTCAGGCCATTATGGACATGGCTTTGTCTGACCTACCCATTAGAATAATCACCTTGCTTTTGGTGATTCAGTGCTTCCACCTGGCCCCTACTACCTCCAGCCCAATTAAATCCATTGCATTGAATTCATCTAACCAAGCAAAAGTTTGGAGCAAGGAAAGGGGCAACAACAAAGCTCTTCAAGTGTGTTGGTGCCCTCTCACCTTTTGCACATTCTGGGCCTTCCCATTGTTGAAGATTCGGTTTTATATGGAGTACCCTCTCTAGCATTGCAATTTCCACAGCTTTAAAAATCTCTTCATCAACTTATTAAGTCAAAGGATATTAGGCATCTTCAACTTCTTTTCAGTAGGCCATCTTTTGACAAACGCTTCAGCCAACCACTATACAAATTTTTGATCCCTTTTTTTAAGCTGGCCAAACTTCCATATTAAACCTAGGATCTCCACTGAGAGGGCCCATACCAATAAACTCAGCTTGATCCAGTTTATGTTTCTTCTACCATTATCCCAAACACTTAAAGTCCATTCCCTCATATATTCCACAGACTTGTGCTTAAATGAATTAGCAAACTCATTAAGCTCTATAGTACTGTAACATACCTCCTCATGGACGGCACTTTATACTTTCCCTCTAGGAGTTTGCTTAGCCTAAATCTAGTGTATAGGTCTAGAGGCAACAGTTGGTAGGCCCTGCAAAGTGTGTCTTTTCTGGCATTTCTTCAGAGAAAGTCACTGCTGGTTTAGCAGACAGTGTAGGATTAATTACTTCAGTTAAAGGTGAAAGGGGCAGTATTTCAGGGGATGAGGTGTGAGCATACTATCTTTTGCTGAAGGCAGAGAGACTACTTCCTCATATGAGATAAACCCTTGAGCATCTGAGGGTTTAAGGTTCTCGGCTCCAATAGCGTCCTCCCACACATTCACATCCCGAGTTACAGGACCAATTAATGCTCTTACTTTAACTACTATCACCTCTGAAGCTGGGACTTGAAATTTTGCCATAATTCAACCAACCTTATAATGAGGGCTTTGGTTTGTTTTTCCACAACTTGAGCTCTGTGGCTGCTGGAGAGAAGACTCCCTTCCAAGGCACACTTAGAAACCTTTAGACTGTTTATATCCATCTGAAGCTGGTCAGTTTTAGTACTAAGTTCATCGTGGTCCGTCACCATATTCTGAGAATCTAGAAGTTGGTTAATTTTATCACAGAGCTCGCTCTTTTCTTTTATCAGTTTATCCAGACATGCTAGGAGCAACCAGGCAGCAGCAGCAGCTTTTTTCTTATTTTCTACAGCTTGTCAAAAGTTTTATATACATAGTTACCAAATCTGTTGCCTCTCACAGTTGGTGAATCAGGATAATCAAATGCATCTGTCTCACTAAGTTTGTAAAACTTTTAGTGCTTGCTGAACATGCAGGAAAGGCCTGAGTAACTGGAGAGGCATCAGTAACTGTAGTTGTTGGCAATTTGGAAAGCCTATTCCAGATACTTAAAATATTCATTCTTCTGTTATTCTAGAACTATTACTGGTACTAAAATCTGTATACTCTAGAATAATAGAATGAATTTCTCTTTAGAAAGGGGATTTATTAGAATAACTTACAGGCTATGATCCTGTAAGTCCAACAATGGCTGCCTATGAATAGGAGTTCCAACAGTCCAATACTTGTTCAGTCCACAAGGCTAGATGTCTTAGTTGGTCTTCAGTATACTTTGGAATCCCAAAGAAGTCGGCCCTAGAGCTAGTGAAGGAATGGATATTCTAGTGAGGACAAGAGCAAGCAGGCAAAGAGCTGAGGCTTCCTTCTTCCGTGACCTTTAAATAGGCTTCCAGTAGAAGGTGTGACTCAGATTAGAAATCAAGCCCTTTAATTTTAGAGCAGTTTTAGTTTATAGGAGATTATCAAAATAGTATGAGGGACTGGCAGGATGGTTCAAGAGTGTGTGCAAGCTTGATGGCCTGAGTTTAGTCCTCAGAGCACCAGTAAAGGTGGAGGGAGAACTGACTGCACAGGTATCCTTTTATTCTTTCACCCCCACACACTCACTATGGCATGCACATGCCCTTACCCATACATCATACACACGCACACACACATATAAAACCTTTGTTTTTTAAGTAGGTTAAGAGCACTCCCTTCAGTTCCCACCACATGGCAGCTCATAATCATCCATAACTCCAGTTCCAGAGGAGCCAATGCCTTCTTCTGACTTCTATGGGTACCAGGCACCACACACATGCAGGCGAAATACACATATCCATAAATTCTTTTTTAAAAAATTTTAAAATTCTTTAAATAAAATAAAAGAAATAGTGTCTTAGGGCTACTATTGCTGTGATGAAACACTATGACCAAAGCAACTTGGATAGGAAAGGGTTTATTTGCCTTACATGTCCATATCACCCAGTGTTCATTATTGAAGGAATGTAGGACAGGAATTCAAATGGGGTGGGAACCTGGGGGCAGGAGCTGATGCAGAGGCCATGGAGAGGTGCTGCTTGCTGGCTGGCTCAGCCTGCTTTCTTATAGAATCCAGGGCTACCAGCCCAGTATGGCATGACCAACAGTGGGCTGGGCACTGCCACAACAGTGACTAATTAAGAAAGTCCTAAGCTGGGCAGTGGTGGCGCACGCCTTTAATCCGAGCACTTGGGAGGCAGAGGCAGGTGGATTTCTGAGTTCGAGGCCAGCCTGGTCTACAGAGTGAGTTCCAGGACAGCCAGGGTTACACAGAGAAACCCTGTCTCGAAAAACAAAGTCCTGGAGGCTTGCCTACAGCTTGATCTAATGGAAACATTTTTTAAATTGATGTTCTCTTCTCTCATATGAGTTTAACTTGTGTCAAGTTGATAGAAATATAAAACTATCTGGCACAATTTACCATTTGTCAACTTGACACACAAAAACATCACCATTAAGTCATAAACTTTTTCTCATTCATCCCCAAGATCTCTCATTAAAAACATAAATAACTTTAAAAGTTATTTACACTTTTATAATGTAAAAGTCTTTACAACTTCAATTCAATACAAATTCAAATAGATTAAAAGTCTGGTCCAAACCATCACTATGTAGCATGGGCAGGTGGAAGCACCCTAGAGGCCCAGAGGTGAACAAGTGTGTGGTGGT